AAAAATTAATGAAATTATTTTATTTTTATATCGAAATGTGTATTATTTATTTCATAATTATTCAGGGAAAAAATTAAAAAGGAAAAGATGACTTATAATAGTTTAATTAGTGTAATTGGTATGTAAAAAAACATGTTGAGCATATTTTATTGACGATGCTGGAATGCAAAGGAATATGAGTCTAAACATTGTTTTTATATGGACGGAGTTCATTTTTAAGTTTTTGGCCTATCAACCACTCTGAATGGTCTTAAGGTCTGTTTTCAAGAGCTTAAAAAAGCTTTTCTAGACTTTTGGTTTAAAAAGGTTAAAACTTAAAATTAGTGTTTTCAAGTGGCAATTTCTACTTAAAAAAACGTTTTTGGCTTTTAATTAAAAAGTGCTTTTTACTTTTTCTATTATACAAAAACTACACATTTTGCCAAACGCTACCAACTTTTACTTTTCAAAATCATTTTTTTTTTCTCAAACACTATCAACTTTTACTACTAATCACCTTTTCCAAAATCACTTCAAAAAGTCCTTTTTTAAAAGCAAAAGCACTTGCAAACACTCCCTAAGAAATGATGAATAGAAGAGCATCATTTTAAGGGGTGTTTGGATCTGATTCTCAAAACTGGTTCTGCTCCTTCAAGGAGCAGAAGCTGGAGTGTTTGGGTGAAATTCCAAAAGCACTTCTGGTGCTCTAATTTACTCCCAGAATCAGTTTTTTTAGAAGTTGGGGGGTACCAGCTTCTGAAAACTGATTCTGATTCTGCTTTTGCTTTAAAAAAAAAAGAAGCAAAAGCAGAATCAGTTCCAAACACCCCTTAGAAGCAAAAACTCAAAAAGGTGAGCTCTCGAGTGCATTCTCCTTGTAGAATGTTGTGGTGCGTTCAACATGTGGCTGAATTTCATTGGAAGACATTCCATATCAGCAATGTTGTTTTAAAGTTTAATTTTTTACATATTAACCGTGCACAATAGAATAATTTCTCTACGTCCCTTTGACATATTCGTACTCGGCTTCTTTCTTTCAGATATCCAATCGTCTTCTTAAAAACTCATAACATCAGACATACTAGTACAAATCCAATTGGAAATTCACAACCCTATGGATGGCGATATGATCTTGTGGATGACAAGGCTGATCTTTTGTTTGGAAGATTGGTGCGACCTAAGCAGTGTGGGTTTCTTCCTTTAGCGCATGCTGTCAGCCTCCTGAAGCCTTGCTGACTTTGCCGTAGGTTCTATCTCCCGTCTGGTTTCTTTCGTTAAAGAAAGAAGAGACTAGTGGAAAATTTGTTTGGCAAGGAAGGGCCTCCTTTGCAATAAACATATTTAAATAAATAATATTGTGTCGTGGAGTAAATAACCAATCAGAAGATGCCAACTAAAAAAAATGCCAACTTTGTGGGATGCACCAAAACATTTTGTAAAGTAGGTGCGCCATAAAATTTTCCAAAATAAAAAGAATCTCTATCACATCAAGGCTATCACAACTCAATCTGTCAATAAATCTATTTATTTATCAATTTATACATATTCACTCAGTCAATTCAATTTTTCCTGCAACTCATCATTGTCAATATATTCTCATTGAGCACTTTCTTTTTAATTGAATGAATAAATCTTTACTTTTTATTACACATCATTTATGTGACATATTTTTTTTACCAATAATTATGATTTAAAGTGACAAACATTTTGATGCAAAAAAAAATGTGAGTTATTTTTTTTTAATTTATTGTCCCAGCTGCAAAAGCAGATAAAAAATAGTTTTAATCATGAGATCTTACAACATACATTTGCTTCTTCTAAACTTTGTCCTATCTAAACACTTCGGTTGAATTATAAGATTCTTGCCAGATTATGCATACCATGCAATCCCTCCTTACCAAGGACAGAGTGACGGGATTCAAGGAAAGCAATCCTACCCATACCCCGCAATCCCTCATGACCAAGCACGGGAATTCACAGGCTTCCTATTTTCCCCTCTGCACCTAGCCGAAAGCATTTACCTCTGGAAATTTCCCAAGCTTTTGATCGCCAAAAGGTATTTGACCATTCTGTGTTTGATCACCAGAAGTATTTTGGTAGCATGAAAGTGGTTTTTTTGCACCAGGAACTTATGAGATGTGCTTTAATGTCATTTAATCTTTGTTAAATTTTCTGAAAACCACATTCATATGAGTATGTCTTTTGTTACCAGCATGTTACTTGCAGTTCATATCAGGCATAATCTGTTTCACATCCATTAGGAACCAACCACTAAATTAACCCTTTTGCGTTTCTTGCCCTTTATTTGCTTTTGTTAATAATTAATAAATCCTTACCTATTTTCCATATACAGATGTACTAGTAAATATATTATGTAATTTTCCAGTATTACATGTTGCAATGACAATCACGAGCTTCTTAAATACTAATACCTTACAAGCATTGATTTAAGTAATTTATGGCAACCATATTTTTTCTTCATGTGCCTCAATATGCTTTGACATTGCAACTTTTTTTAATTAATTGGATTTTCAAAGTTGTTTTTCAAGTAATTGTTGCTTCCATATAAGTTCACTACTTATATAATTTTGTTAAATTCTCCTTTACCACATTCATATTACTACGTTTTATAGCTACGTATTGTGATTGGCTCAAAGAGGAAGTCTTATGGAGTTTATGTCGGCCATGTGTTCTAATTATGTTCATTTATATTACCATGTTGTTCTCAAGGATGTCTTTTTCTCTTTTATCTAAAACCGTCCAAAGAGCTTGATATGTTATAAGAAGAAAAAGAAAATGAGAATTTTATTTAAAAGGGTGGGTTTTCAATATTTAGTTTTTGTACTATTTCTTTCTCACTTTAGTTATGTTAATTTGATGGTGAACTTGTGTGTACACAATAAGGGTGCTGTGTAACACCGCCCCCAAGTATTTGTACTTTATCAAGTCATGTATTGAACCATAAGAAATGAATAAACGCATCTTTACGTGATTGTAAATTTTTATCATTCTTTTACGTGAATAGTAAAATTCACGTGGGGCCCACACCGGGAGTGGGGGGCGCCCGATATTATCGGGACCACATATTATATTCATCTGGGTCTAGATAATATTTATATGCTGGTGGATATCCATGTTGGGCCATAGAAACCATGTGAGTTGACCAGTTGTGCATATAAGGTCCATTTATGGGTACCGGCGTACTGACAGATAAAAGCCATAATAAATTATGGAGACCGCTAAATTAAAAGTTGGGTAATATAAATTCATTCTAATAGACGATAATAATTGGAAGAATGATGGATATTTCATTTGACCCGATAAAATGAAATATAGTTGAAACAGTCCGGAAAATACAATTTTCGGGACCAAGTGTACACTTGGGGACATAAAGGGATGACCACCCATCTAAGTGGGGGCCACCCCACGACTTTGGTCTTGCAAAGAGCCACGAAAGCCGCACCTAATGTTGATGATTGAAGGTTGAGATGACTTAGAGACCAAATGAGAAGGAAAGGGGACCCTTCCCCTTATATTATTGTGAATGAGTCAAAAAGGAAACTACCTCACCCCCCACACCTCATCCATCCAACCCAGACCTCAATAAAAGGGAGAGAAGATCTGTAAATTATTATTTCCACCATCTCCATTCGAACCGAAGCTAAGGAAGAAGAAGGAGAGAAAGGAGAAGAGAAAGAAGGGGGGAAACTTGAGGATTAACAAGGTAATAACTCCATTAATCCTATTCCTTTTCTTTAATCTTCCCATATGATTATATAATCATATTTCATACCCCTAGGATCATTTTACACGTTGTATGTGAAGAATGAGGGGTTAGGGGGGTGGTTCATATCCAAAACGGACTTAGATAACAAAGTTGTCGGGTTCGTCGGCAAATAACCTTTTAGAGGTTATTTGTGTTTATATGGGTTTTATGATGATAAAAACTTGTTATTAACTTGTATAAGGTATTTCAATAACTTTCACGGAGTTGAAAGGGTCGCCGGAGTTGTCGCCGGAGTTCGTTGAAGTTCGCCGGAGTTTCGCCGGAGCTCAATAAGGAAGGCTAGAACTTCATAAGCTTCATTTTAGGTGAGAAGACGGCTATATGCTTTATAACTTCTGCGTGAGGCATGAGATTACATAAATTAATCAAGAATATGTTTTATGAATTGATTAATGGTATTAAAGTATGTGCTATGTCATGTTTAAGAATATAACATAGTTGGAAAGCATGATTTGTAGGTTTGAGTAGTGAAATTATTATAAATTGATATGTATGATGTTCCAAGGAGCAAAATAGGTATTTTGGATCAAGGACGTCAAGGAGTACATGCATGTAAAATTTCACGTTAATCGGACTTCGTTTGAGCAAACGGGCGTTGACCGCCAAGTCAACTGTTATACCCGACCGGGTATTGGCAAATACCCGACCGGGTATTTACTGAATTTTTGCCCCAGGGGCTACTGCCTCCTATACTCGATCAGGTATAGGTGGGTACCCGACCGTGTATTGGGTTTTACACCCAACAGTCAGTTTTGAATGAGTATAACATGGGGCGTTCAAGTGAGAACCGTTCACGTTGATCATTAAGGATTATTATATGACTATAGGGCTAGGTTTGTCCATAGTTAAAGGAATGAAAGGTTAGCCATATCCAGGTTAGGGTTTGGTAAGGATTAAGGTTGGGGTTGAGTATCCCCGGGACGGTAAATGATCCTGAAACTCGGTTGGGGTTCACTACTAGAATAATAGCTATTTGTTGCGGTCATTTTTACTTATTTGCTGTGGTTCTGAACCGCAGCAATTGAAGGAGCAGCAATAAGTGAGTATACGTATTTGCTGCGGTTCACAACCACAGCAAATAGTCAATCATAATTTTTTTAAAAGCTTTTTGTTGCGGGTAGGCTATGACCGCAGCAAATATCCACAACAAGTTACGTATAGAATACCAATACGCACTACAGGTTTTCATTGCAGCATGCTTTCAATACAATTTAAAATAGAAAATTAAACGTAATTTAAACAAAAATAGGTAATATAAATAAAAACAAGCCTTTTTATGATATTTCACGAATAACCCATTATATCCTTTATTAGTTCTCACAAAAACATCATAGGAATTCAATACAACAACAAAATTAATCTTAGAATACATTCTTTAACCAAAAACAAACTGGAAGAATCCATAAACATATGGAACGTGATCCCCCTCCATCCTCTGCTATCTTAGAATCCTTCTTTGCGTTTGGGGATGAAATCCTCCCAGAAGCCTTAAAATGGCCATTCCTGCTCCTTGGGTCAGTTGTAAACCTATCTCACAAAGCATTTTTCTTTAGGCGGTGAAGGACAGAATTATATGCTCAATCTGACATAATAAACAAAGAAGCCGATAATAAAAAAACACTACATTAAAAATAATAAATTTATTATGTAGTACTTTAAATCATAATCTCACAAATACTCCCTCCGTCCCAATTTGTTTTGCAAAGTCAACATTTTTCGGTCAACCAATAATAAAAGTCAACCCTCTCTATGGATACTTAATTCAATTTTTAATAATTAAAATTTACATATTCAAAAACTACATTAAAATTTCTTCAAAGTTGTAAACTCCAAATTAGAATATAATTAAAAATTGACATCCTAATTAAGTGAACAAAACGAGACTGTTTGACTAAGAAAAGTCAAATTTGCAACTCTTTTTGGGACGGAGGTAGTAATATTTATTAATTAATAACTTCTTTTTTAAAATGTGACCACTATGTCCTATCTGTGCAATGCCTGCTATTTGGCTTTGCTTTAAAAGGAACTACTCTACACTAGGAAACTTTCTAGAGTATTTAGAAATAAGTGCATTTGAATTTGATGCCCTAAGGCATTGAATTTAACATTTGAAACGACAACTCAAGAAGTAATAAATTCTAGACTACACACTGGTATTTAAAACTACGAGACACTTAAGATAAGGTTAACAAGAGAATTACTCAACATGCATGGAACTCCATAATACATATATAGTTATATACTTCGTATATCTATTCAACTAATGTCAATCTAGAAGTAATCTAGAGTTATACCTGAAACATTTTTTTTAGATTTATACTACAAATAAAGGAGTTTAGAGCTTACCAGTTCAATACTTTGCAAATTTCCACACACCTTTTTGTAATTCTACTCCGGAGGTTATTCTTTGCAAGTCCACCTACATATCTAATTCTACCAGAAGTTACAACAAGAATAAAACTTCAAAAGAATAAAACTTCAAAATATTCAAAGTAAGCGAAGAAAGCAATTTAGATTACAGTTACATTATGATGAGGCACCAACATTTTCATTTTGTCAATCAACAATTACAAAGTCAAAAGTTGATCCTAGTTTTTCTCACTATTCATCTAAATGCTTGACAATACCATTTCAAGTGAGTCTTAAGCAAAACACCTCTAATAAATGTCAATAGAGGCAAGAAGCAATGTCAAAATTTATAGAAAGAAAAAGAATTGCAGCAGGAAGAGCCAATTACCACTCCCAGACATATTTGTAGTCTTCCAGAAACTTCTGAGAATTAATCACTGCATTCCTAAGTGGCAAATGACTAACTGACAATCACAGTTATTCCAATTACTCTATTCATTTCTTTGATTATTATTCCAGTTAAATTTTATTCAAATAAGCCAAATTACGGAATTCAGAATTCTTCTTTTTATAAGTTTGAGATTTTATAAATACTGAAGGAATAACATAATGGGTTATCATAACAGTTCAATAATTCTTGTTTTTAAAAAGAAAAATTGTATTGATAAGGATATAGACTATGCCCTTCATGCCCTTCACCCAAACTGATCCTCAAGTTTAATAAACTTCAACACCGGCTTCTTTATGTCTTCACAGAACACCCACAATCCTTTAAAGTTGAAAATAGATGTATAGTCTGTCATACATCATCATGCCAACATCTAAATAACAATATAACTTCCACTCTTAAGTTGTAACAAAAAAGATGGTCCCAAGAAATTGATAATTGCAAGTTTGCAATCAGAAAAAATATAAATATAAAATAGCTATTAATCATTTAGAGTCACCTCAAGAAGTGGGATAGTTAATTGACTCGAGTAGAAATGTGGATCAAACTTGTGCAAGACTGTTTGAATGTTAACATTGATGTTGACTTGAAAATCTGCATACATTAAGAAGAATTAGAGCACGAGATGTTAAATATAGTGTGATATAAAAGTATAAAAGAAGATAGAAAACAGAGAGAGAATGAACCTCAAGCTATTGGTAGTTAAATAAAAACCTGCTTGGGTTGCTATTGGAATAAGCACTACGTATTTTGTTTAATTGGGTTGCAATGAAGTATTTTATAAGGTTATTTTCAAATATGACTATTCTTATATATAAGCTCGTATTGTTAATCAAGCTATAAAAAAGCACTAATAATTTTTATTGCTACAATAGCCAAACTTTAACACAGTTTATAGCAGAAGAGAAAAATCAAGATTAAGAGCCCGTTTGGTAGCACCAAAATAGGCTGTTTTGGCTGATTCTGCTGAAATTTATGATATTCTGGCTGGAGTGGCTGTTTTGGCTGATTCTGCTGATTTAAGAAAAAAATATTTTAAAAATATATTTTATTAATAAATTAAAGAAAAAATTATATGTAAAAATAGCTAAAATGGTCCTCTACAGTAACTTCAGCCAATACAGCCAGAAAAGTAACTCCAACCTTACTTTTTCGGCTTATTACACAATTCAGCGCGCGAAAGTAAAAGTTACGTGTTTGGTGAAAAAGCTGGCTGATAAGCCTGATAAGCCGAAAACAGAGTTCTCCAAACGGGCTCTAACAATAACAAAGTCAATATAAAACCTCACAAATATCTTCATAAAATCAAACGAGAAAAACTTATTCAAATGCAATTATATAAGCTTTCATCCCACATCAATCTAACTTCAGCAAATACAGATTTCAAATTAATTTATTCCAAATTCGACATCATTGTGAGAAGACTAATTTATGAAGAGGATGAAAAGAGTTCGTATAAAGGCAACTCTCATAATGAGCGGCCCTTGTTTCTAAAAATCGCCAATCACCACCATTGTATGTGACATATGGAGTATTTATCAGGTTTAATATGGCAAAACAAGATTCACGGTCAGCTCTTATAATTTATGGACTTTAGGCAGATAAAAAAAGCAACAGAAATCTGATCAACAAAACAAAAAACATACGGAGTAGTAGATAAAAAGATAAATAACTTATCTTGAAAGAGAAGAGACAAAGTATAGGAAGCAAAGACTTTTCTAGGCGGAGGTGGAGGCCGCTTTTCTAGGCACGGGCATGGGGACACTTTGCCAGGCTGAGGTGCGAGGTGGCAGCTGGGTTGCGAGACCAAGGTGGTGCGAGCTGGAGGCGTGAGCCGCGTGACACGGCGAGGATGAGATGGGACGACGATGCAGCAATAAGAATCATGTAGAGAGTGGAAAGCCATTTGAAATTGGAAGGAGGTAGGGTTTTGGGAGTATCATAGGAGAAATTAAGGAGATGATACCGATAAGGAGAGGAAGGAAAAACTGATAAATGAACCCTATTTTGATGCGGTTCCGTCGCACCACAGCAATTGTAGAATAAAATTATGTATTTGATGCGGTTCCAACTTTGACCGCAGCAATTAGTTAGTAAAGATAGACTTTTTGTTGCGGTTCTGTATTGACCGCAGCAAATAACTCAAAAATATGTACTATTTGCTGCGGTTCCAACCCCAACCGAAGCAAATACGTAGAAGCAAATAGGGAAAATTCTAGTAGTGGTTGAGTATCCCCGGGACGGTAAATGATCCTGAAACTCGGTTGGGGTTGAGTATCTCCGGTACGGTAAATGATCCTGAAACTCGGTTGGGATTGAGTATCCCCGGGACGGTAAACGATCTTGAAACTCGGTAGGGTGTTATGAAGGTAGAATGTAGCTTGTAAGCTAGGCATTCGGGAATGGATGGGAAAGGTCGGGTGAGTACCTTATCTCTAAAAGACTCTTTACATGAAAATGACCTACGGGTCAAGTATTTTACAATTATATACGGTATGTATCATCTTGTGGACGGGGTGATAATGGTTACACCTATACATATATGTATCACCCTATTTTTTGGATCTCGTGTTTGAAACATTAATTATTCCTCATATAGCCTGCTTGTCACTAGTACTTTCTATGGAGTACTGACCCCTTCGGGGGCCTCACATTTTTCAGGTTAAGGTTAGAGTCCTGCTACCTGCACCTTTGCATAGGGTGATAATCAAATCAGGAAGACGTGGTTCGTGCTTCCATTCTTATTTCAAATTATAGATTTGCTCATGGATATTTGAACAATGTTTTCCTATTAAACTATGGAAGGGCCTGCGAGTCCATGTTTGCCACGTGTGGCTAATTATCAAACATATTTTATTTCCGCATCTGTTTGATTAATATATATTGATGTTGATTGTATGAGTTTACTAATCGGTTTGGCAATAGAATCTATCGGACGCCTTGTATGATTTAATAAGAATGAACTACATTGTTCTTATTGGGTTGTATGACGGTTGTCTACGTGGCACAGATGCGGTCCAGGGCGTGACATGTTGAGGAGAATTTTAGAGAAGCGTAAGCTAGAGAAATGGAGTTTGAGAAGTTGTAAATGGAATATACGTTTGCTAAGTTAAGGTATAGGATGTCTTGATGATTCATAACTTGATGGTTGTCGGGAAAAGAATCTCAAGATGCAATTATTGGATATAAATAAACGATTTGTTCAAAGGTTAAATTTATTCATTTACAAGCTTACTATTTTATTTTTCAATGTGGTATAAGTGATATTTTCAAAGGTCGTGTCAGTATTGCCTCACATAGTTTATAAATAAATTAAAATACATTTTCTAAAAGACTAATTAACTACTAATATTGTTTAAACTCTAATATAAATGTGGTCTGTAATAATTAAATTACTAATTGTCCATTAAGTAGAATCATCCCCTCAATAGCATTCTCAAATCTCGCCAAAAGCTACTCTCAAATCACCTTTATTCATATAATCCCTAGATTTCGATTCATTCTTCTTCCCAAATTGTTGGAAGCTCCTCAGAAAATGTTGTAAATTATGTAGCTAGAGTCTCACTCATCTGCCCGGAAATCATCATCTGGGCGAAAGCATCTACCTGGAGTTATCTGCCGAGAAATAATCATCTAGCCGAAATCACAGTTCTTCGGATGAAATGAAATATACTGCTCTCCCTGCCAGTGCGTTGTTTCCCTCCCTTTCCACTCATTCGAATGACGTCATCTCAATGGTCCACAACTAGGAATGCAATCCTACGCATACCTTGCAATCCCTCCTTACCATGCACATAGCGACGGAGTTCGGGAGCTCCCATCCTTAAACCAACCTATTTATCCCTCTAGACTTAGCCCGAAGTATCTACCTCTGGAAAATTTCCAAGCATTTGATCGCCGAAAAGTGTTTTAGCATTCTGGATTTGATCGCCAAAAGGATTTTTGGCATTATGGGTTTTATCATATTTCGGTTTTGTATCTAATTTTAAGGTATTCATCTACCTAATTGGTAAGCTATAAAGGAATTTCTTTTCTTCTTCTTCTCCGTTCACGTAGCCGACGATAGGAGCGGTCAATGACAGGAGGTAAAACATATATCTTTCCTCACTTAGACGGTGACGGAAGTGGTTGTTCCTTTGCTTCCCAATCACTTAGCCTTTCTCACTTCGGCATCACCTCATTCCTTATTGTCAATTTTCATCTCGAGATCAATTTCACGTTTTTATAATGTGTCCACAATGCCACATTACCAAATGTGGGAGATCAAGCCATGGTGTCTGTGTGGGTCATATTTGAATTTATTAGGAGTTAGGACGTGGATGACTTTATTTATACATTTGTTATCTGTAGACATTAAAGTGTCCCCACATGGGCTCCTTAAAAGGGCCATACACTTGACCCCTTTTCATCTCTGCCACCCCGGTCCCAAAGTCTTAGTTTGCATAATTTCATAAAGTGGGTGCCACCTTTGAAAGCTTCAAAAGGATTGTGATGTTCTAACAGGGGTGATGCAATGCACTATTTGTTAATGGTGTTTATTCTGCACTACTTCTGAAGAAGCTATTCAAAAAGGATTTGAAAATGAATTAAGTGAAGCCGTGAAGAAGTCTGCACTTCTGTTTCCACCTCCACTTTTTCATGTGGAAGCTTATCCAAAAGGATTTGGAAAAGAATTAAGAAAGTAAAGACATGAAGGAGTCCGCACGCGCTTTTGTTTCCGCATCCACTTTTCCAAGTGGGGTGGATGGAGTTTGAGAAAAATGAAGACATAAAAAGAACCTAAACATGCATTTAAGGAAACTGTCAAAATATGTGATAATATGCTAATGAAGTTGCTCCAAATGTTAAACAGAAACCTAACTCGATAGAGATTTTGATATATTTTATATTAAGCCCTTTTATGAATTATTGGGAAGATTTGTTGTTCAATGCTTCAAGAAATGAAGTTTGTTAACTGAATAGCATTCTGTAATTAGCAATAGTCCTATGTTTGTGGGTTTCCAAATAATGTTTAATTGGCATATTTTAAAGCTTTAAACAAAAAAGGTCCCTATATGAGTCTAGGGGTGAGGGAAAACAACAAACTGTCTGATTTGTACTGAATCTAGGTTGAATACGGCATAGATGGCAGTTTCATGACTATGATCAATTGAATTAGTCATGAAAATACACTACATGATTGTAAGAATACACTGGGTGTTTGTAAATTTGTCACAATGCCATTCATTATGGGACCTTACCGTTCCTTTTCTTTAAGCCTACCGTTTTCTCTTAATTTCCCACCATTTCATATATCAAGTTTGTATTTTATTTTACAGGTATTCTTCTGGAAAGTTGGATAAACTATAATGGAATTTTTTTTCTTCTTTTGGATCTAATAGTCTACTTTTTCAAATTATCTAACAGGGGTGCTACAATGCACTATTTGGTATCGGTTTTGCATGTTGTATTACTTCTGAAAGAGCTTATTCAAAAGGATTTGGAAAAGGAGAAAGTGAAGCCGTGTAGGACACCGTGCTTCTATTTTCGCCTCCAATTTTTTAAGGGCGGTGGAGGCAGTTAGAGAAAATTAGAGACATAAAAGAAAGTAAACATCCATGCACGCTGCCAAAATATGTGATAGTATGCTAATGATGTTTCTCCAAATGTTAAATAGAAACCTAACTCGATAGAGATTTTGATATACGCAGTATTTTATATTAAGCCTTTTTATGAATTATTTGGAAGATTTATTGTTCAAGACTTCAATCAATGAAGTTTGTTGACTGAATACTATTATGTGATTAGCAATGGCCATGAATTAGGATCATGCTGCAGTTTTTATGGAATTGGTACACACAGTATTAAGGTTTTTTGAATTAGGATTGTGTTGCAGTGTGACACTCTTGGATGACATTTTGTCATTTGTCTCTTCCAAAGATCGGATCATGCTGCAGTTTTTATGGAATTGGTACAGTTCTAAAGGTTTTTTTGAATTAGGATTGTGTTGCGGTGTCACACTCTTGGATGTCATTTTGTCATTTGTCTCTTCCAAAGATGAACCTTTCTATGTGGTAGTGTTATGTAACGTTGGAGGTCCAGTACTTCACAATGCATGTATCTAGAATTGTTCAATTTAGGTAATCTTAATTTGTAGTAGATTTTAGGCAGTTTTTATAATATGTTTCATATAAAGATCTTTATGTAAGGCATTTTTTATAACATGTTTTGATTTAAGATGCTTTTTTATTTAAGGGAGATTTCATTTTAGGCAATTTTTTTCTTTTTGTAAGACTCTTTTAGGTAAAAACATAAATTATATTATGTAGATTTAAGGTAGTGCCAAGTCATGAATTCAAGTTAAAGGTGGGTGTGCCTTTGATGCTTATAAGAAACATATATAGATCACACTGTTGGATTATGTAATGGTACGAGATTCTTGGTAACTATACTTGAGACCCATATTATTGGGATCACTCGTATGATAGGATCAAATGTTGGTGAAAAGTAATTTCCCTATCTTAGTTTGATGCCTACGGGGTATAAGCCCCCCTTCACATATCATTGAAGGCATACTTCTCTTAGGATTAGTTATACGATGACAATTAACAATAGTCAAGGTTAGTCATGAGAAAGGGTTATATTTTTTTACGTTGTCCGGTTTTTGCTCACAAACAATTGCACGTTACAGTCCCAAGAATAACAAATCGATCAAGATTCAAAATTTTCACATGTGATGATGGTCAACCAAACAATACTGTTCCAAATGTTGTTTATAAAGATTAAAAAAATGAACAATATTTTCTCACGCCATTTAATAGATATTAAATTCTATAGTTCTAATAATTAAATATAATTTGTATGTTCATTGAAATCCCTACATAATCGAGGAAATGTTTTCCCGTGCAACGCACGGGTCGAATACTGGTTAGTGTAACAACATGTCAAAGTATAAAGAGTTTTTCAAAAAATCAAGATTCTTTGGAATCAAATGAGTAAAATATGAACATAGTATTCATATAAAAGTATTATTGAAAATATG